GGTAAGGCTGTCTTTCAGTGAACCATTTGTGATATACTCATAGACCAACATAAATTCACCGTGATCGAAGCAGAAACCAACTAGACTGACAACGTTTTTGTGATGAACCCTCGAGAGAAGCTCAATCTCATTTTTGAACTCTACGCCGCCCTGGGTAGATCCTGGCTTTGTTCTTTTAATGGCTACCAGTTGTCCATTGGGAAGGGTTCCTCTGTATACCTGAGAGATGCAACAAATGTCGACATACATGCAACCAAAACATAACAGCAGTCAAACTGAGTCAAATACCTATGAACAAGCACTGAAATCATTTAACAGATGAATTTCATCGGAGTAAATTTTCATTTAATGCAACATTGAGCAATGATAATAAGATGGCTTAGGAGTGAATTATCCAGGAAGGGTAAGAACAAGTTTCTTCAATACGCATACGCTAGACTAGACTAATGAAAGAAACTTGAAAAAAAAATTTTTTTTTCATGTTTACAGAATCAACAAGTGGCAAACATTACTGCTGAGTTGTAGTATTAGTTGGCCACCAAGTCTCCGTGTGCAGCTTTAGAATTAGAAACATATAATTTCATGCATATTACGAGAACTCATAATTCCTTAAATTGTAGGAAAATTCTAAGGCCCCTTTAGTGTTTTTGCGGGTATCACTCCATCAACTTTTGCCCAATGATTTTGCCACGTCATCTTAGGTGCAAGCATTACAACAAACGCAAGAACTCCATAAAACAAGATTTTAATCATGCATTCACAAGTAGGTATTTTGCTTCACTAACACTACGCCAAGTATTTAAATGATCAAATTCTGAAAATTATAACCATAGTCATGAAAATAATACAAAATAGTTTTACTTCCTAGTTTTCTCCTAGAGATACAGCAAGAATAAAATTATTCGAAAGAATGTATCAACTGGGCAACCACTATCCAGAACCGAGAAAGAAATGAAAAGAAAAAACAGTAAAATGCGTATTCTTTTTATGAGGCAAATGACAAAAGAACAAACCTTGCCATAACCACCCGATCCAACTTCATTATTATCAGAGAAGTTATCAGTGCATTTCTTAATTTCTTCAAATGAAAAACTTCTTGCTCCTCTTAACTGCGGTACTGCACCACTGTTTGAGTTTGAGTCCCAGGATGCTGCAAGAATGAAAATGGTCAAAATAGCGGCAGAATAATTGAACTCAACCCAAGATTATTATAACTTAAAGCGATAAAAAGTCGAACCAAACGGATCACTCTTTTTAGCAGCAGTCTCGGCTCTCCTCTTTTGACGAATAGCATAAACTCCAGCAATAAGTAACAATAAAAGAAGAATAGATGCACCAACGGCTGCTCCAATGATCACGCGCATGTTTGAAGGTCTATTTGACCCTTCATTCGGGCCTGGAATTTTAAAAATTTGTTGCGAGCATAAGACAT